GCCTTCGCAGCCTGGCTGGCCTGGGCCTCAGCCCAGAAGCCCGGTAGGCCCCAGGATGCTGCGCCTCTGTTGCAGCTACTGGGCCTCGTTCGGTTTCGCTTCCCAACTGTCTGTGTATGAGCCTGCGATTCTCGTCCAGGGCCTGCATTTTTGGAAAGGCCTGGAAGGCCGTGGAATGTCTCGCCGCTCGGCCTGTGTTTTCCCTCAACCAACTGGCGCGACGAACTGCCTGGACCCGAAACACGAAATTGACAGCTTAGGGCCTCTCGTGATCTGTTAGGCCCGCCTTCACTTAGGGCGGGCACATCTGCAGCAAGGAGCCCCTTAGGCCTGCCGAGGACCCAGATCCTCGCACGAGTGAACAAAAAAAAAAAAAGAATAAAAGGAAAAAAAAAAAAAGGCTTTTTCTTTTTCGTTTATTTCAACACCGGTTTCAGGATTCCTTTTTCGTTAACTTCTTTCAGGGTTTCCACTTTGGGGGTTGATAAGAGCAAGAGCAACTCCCCAAAGTGGTCCCTGATTATGGAGGCTCTAATCTATCGATGGGGAGCAGCACCTGCCGCGCCCTAGAGCAACAGTAGCGACTGATATAGTCATTCACGACCGGCAATAAAAATGCCCTCATTTGGGAAGGGATGTAACTCCAGCCATCTCACCCCCTTTCTGTCGTCAATCCGGTCATGCTATCCCAACTCTTTGGAGTTTTGAAAATGTTTCTGCAGGGAGTCCATCCCACTGTGGTTCTGAAGGTCTTCGTATCACGTAAAACTGCCTTAGACACCGTACGGGAAACCGGAGCCAGTGTCCCTTCTTTGATGTAATTACTAATCTTGCTATGCTTTTCCCTGATACTGCGTGATCTGCCTTCCGCCTCCACAGACCACCCTGTATTCTTCTCCCAATCGTTGCCCAGTGTTCATGCTGTGTCCTGGAGGGCACCTTACGCCTGCCCTGATCATCAGGAGTCGTCACATACGCATCCTTTCGTGACCAGTATTGTGCTTCTGGATTGATAGTTAATACTTGGGATTGTAAACTGTATGGCCAGGCTTTCCATTCCGATCTGCATCATGTTATTGAGGGGGCAGTGGGGGAAGAGAGGTCTGGCAGAGGGGGGAGTGAGAGAGGCAATACTTCTGATTTGGTTTGGGTCGCTACCATAGCAGCACAGTATGAGAAAGTCGAGTTTCGTCAGCCATACAAGCAGTCATCGTGTGACAAGAATCTTGAAACAACAGACCCTGAAACAACAGCCAGCCGCCTAAGGGCTGGCTTCACCCGCCCATAAGATTTTGTCAGGCTCGCACTAGGTCGTCAGATGACGGCAGGTGTCGTTGCAAGAGCGTGCTGACTGGGAACCGCCACAGAGGCAACATTCTACCCCACCTGAGCAAGCATCATCTGGCCGCTCCGCAGCATGCAGCCCCACCCCGCATCGCTGGTGAGCTTGTTCACTCCCAGCGGCTTGAAATCTGAAACGGAAAAAAAAAAAAAAAAAAAAAAAAAAAAAAGAAAAAAAAAAAAAAAAAAAAAAAAAACAGTCAGACGTCCAAAAGGTATGAGCCACATGCGCTCCATTAGACAGAATTGAGACCAAGGGTCGCAATGATTACAAGAAATCCAAAGAATTCCACGTACGCACGATTGCCGAGTACTTGTGGTGGCAAACATTTGTAAGGTGCGTGCATTTCGGCAGTAGGCACTGGTCAGTCTGTGCATCCGCAACACACAATAAGCAGTGCTTTTTTTCCTCTTCACAATCATCATCCTACTGATCCTCATCATGATAATGATCATCATCATCTTCTTCTTCTTTTCTTCTTCTGCTTCTCCTGGTCGCCTTTCTTCAATTGAAGGGCAGGACACTCTCTTGCAAAGTGACGCTCGGGATATATTGGGTAATGGCATGCCTCAGCGTCTAGGATGACTCGTAATAACACGAGTATATCATCCATCTTGCACCTACCAGCGACCATCCCACAGATTCTGTTGTTCACGCGTTACACGGGTGCAGGATACACAAGTGATTTAAAAGGACAGAAACGGAGCAAAGAAACTAAAAAGCCACAAGGAAAGGGAGACAAAAAGAAAGGAAAGAATGCAAACCATGGTACTTTCCCACTCTTTTCCGGTGCAGCAACGACCGCCATTCTGGAATAGCGAGAAAGATTCAATTGCCAGTTGCACAGGAAAAAAGAAAAGAAGAAGAAGAAAAACACACAAAAAAGTAAAGGGCTGCAAGTGGCACGAGGCCGCAAGTGGCACAATCAGAAGCACTTTCCTTTTAGGTGGTTTATGGTTTGTTCGGCTTTGATGACTGTGAGGCTGGTTTATTTTTTTCCCACGGTTGCGGACTATCAGGACAGCGGTCTACCTTCTTCACCTGAATACAACGTACGTATGGTCATTAGTCCTGTATCTAGACTCAAACTTGCCCCAAATGTACAGATATAATGACGGTATGTTGTATTCGGGTGAAGAAGGTGTAGTTGTGGCCACTTATGTCACTGGATATGTTTTTTTTGTTTTTTTATCCTAACAAAAATTTCAAATTCTTATATTAATTTGCAGTGTCAGAGAACACGCAGGAATCAATGGCAGCATTGAAGAATTGCCTGGACGAGTACTCTACACTGTCAGAAGCGGCCATCAATTGGCACAAGTCAGCATATCTGCTCCCAGATCACTCCGAGCCAGCAGTGGAGTGGGGGATGAAGAGAATAGAGAAAGATGGCTCAGAAAGATTCTTAGGGGTCCAAATATCCCTACTGGACTGTGCAGCGGCAGAGGATGACCTGCTCCTCCAGAAATCTCTTCAAAGAATGACCATGTGGGGCAGAGCTCCCCACTTGTCCTTATTCGGCAGGTCGTTGGTGCTAAACGGAGCCCTCTTTGCATTGCTTTCGTGGGAACTGTGAGGCGTATAGGGGATTGCACGTATAAGCTTATAAGAAAACGAGCCGTGAGGTTCATTTGGAAACCTTTCGCGGGTGACCAGGATGCTTTCATCTCCAAAGTGGCATGGGAGATGCTGTCCTTACCACGAGAGGAAGGTGGTCTGGGAATGGTTGACCCAAACAAGCAGAATGAAGCGATGCTGATTAAATGGATAATGCGGGCATGCTTGGAAGACCCTGCACAACACTGGGTGTACTTGGCGGAGTCCACATTGGCTAGTGAATGGAACCTTTGGACGTGCTTGTTTCTGTTCTCGTATCAACATAGAACAGTTAAGTCCCCCTTATGGGCAGCCATCATTCAGGCGTGGAGGAAGCTCTGTCCGAATGTATAGACAACTCCGACAAAGAAAGCAGAAGTTGTGGCTCAACCCATATTTGAAAATCCACGAATAAGGGCAAGGAATGGACTCTGGTTCAAGGCGGACTCCCAAGCCCAGAGCTTTGCTAGGACTTGGATAGAGAGGTGTTCTGCGGGTTAGACACCTCTGGGACGGGTTTGCAGAAGACTGGAAAACAGAGGAGGAACTGAGGGAGATACTAGGACAGTTACGAGATGTGGAAAGGAAGAGAGCAGCAGTGATAGAAGCAACACTAGAGGAGTGGAAAGTCATATTGTCTCCAGAGACAATTGACCCGCCGGGTACATGGTATATCCAACATGAAGAAGAGACACCCAACCTTTGGGGACTTAAATTAACGCAAGTGGATGGGAAACGGGTGTTTCAGAAGTGGATCTACTCAGCCTCAGGCCTGTTGAGTTTAGCAGAAGGAGACACCCAGCCCAGGCTGGGCGGCGCACTGTCTCAAGTACGTGTGATAACAACGGATCAAGAAGGGAGGAGGCAGG